CTCTCTCTCTCTCTCTCTCTCTCTCTCTCCCTGACTCTCTCCCTCACTCTCTATCACCGCCTTTCAGATCTTTAAAAGCTGGTGCTCTGCTGTGTCTCTCTCGATCTCCATTTGTCTCCTCTGGCACTGCAGGGGACTCAACCGGCAAAGCACCAAGGGAAGCCACTGTATAGAAACGGGAAGAAGACTGAGGAAAGGAGAGAGAGTAAGGGAGAAATATACATCCAGAAATAGCATCAGCCAAATTTAACTGAGAGAGAGTGACAGAGTGGAGAACCTGAGACCTGGACAGAAAATGCCTATCCTTTCTAACTTAACAACCGTTGTTTTGTTGCTGATTGCTCACTGCGGATCATGGACCGGGGCAAACCGCTTGGGCACCTTCAAGGTCTGTCCCTCCTGCAGGGATCCACTGGGGGCAGGTCGGCCTCCCAGGGACCATAATGTTGCCGGCAGCACGTCAGTATTGGCCCAGGGAGAGCCCTGTGGTGTGTACACCCTGAGCTGTGCCAAGGGGCTCCGCTGTGTTCCTCCACCAAGGGAGCACAGCCCCCTCCAGGCTCTGTTGCAGGGAAGGGGCATTTGCGCCAAGCACAGCAGGACAAGTCCCACTGAGAGGCCCCACCCCACAGGTAAGATTCTGTATATGCGCACACACACACACACACACACACACATACGTGCATGAAATCATGTATGCACACTTACATGCATGCACCTACACAGATACATGCACGGACACTGCAGGTACGGCTAGACAAGTGCAGTGGCACAGTCGCCACGTATAATTGTATTTACAGTGTCTCCTCAATTGCCGTGAATCGCATGTGATGCTGTGTCATTCACCCAAAAAAAAAAAAAAGAAAGGCCAATTAGTGTGTGACATTTAAGCCTGGATGCATTTGTGCACCACAGATGTATATGTCGACCTCAAGCATCCAATTCTGCTCAGCAGTGCCTCTGGAGTCACTGGGATAAAAATGTCATTTGTCATTACAGTCGTATTGTAAAAGCACAGTGATTTGTTAATAAGAAATAATGGCAAATCACATAAAACAAGGAGCTTATATTCAGTCTTGGGGTGTTGCAACAGTGTATAAGTGAAGATGCGTATCCCTTCGTTGATATGATTTGCACAGTGTTATCTATTTCATCCAACTGAATGAAAGGGTGCACGCCAAAGATCTGTCCTACAAATCAGCCTGTCTGTAGAGAATTTAGAATGAATGTGAAACTGTCACGGTGTCACCTACATCCTGATCAAGCTGCTTTTTATTGCAGTGATCTCCATCTACTGTTCAAACTGAGATACTGCGATGAACTATCTGAAAAGGAAACATACGGATGGAAATTAGGTCCCTCATTGAATGAATCACTTCAGATATAGATCCCATCTGAGTGACCGCTCAGTAATGTCTTCTTGAGTAAAGATAGATAATAAAGTCTAAATATCATATACGCAGATTATGTTGTAAAATGTGACATTGGATGTGGTTTGATATTAACAGCTGGTTTAATGTCACATTCTCATGCCAATGTGTCGTTTCCTCTCAGGTCCCCATCCCTCACACGGTGGTGACATTGAAAAAGTAAGTTCATGCCCTTAATTTACAGTCTTTAATAAGTGATGTTGATGGAGCGTCACCTAAATTATCAAAAATTGGAGATGTATAAAGCATTTTATATAACAAGATAATGTTAATACCCATCATATGTGATGGAGAGGGTTGTACATCGAGCTGCATTGTATTATAGAGAGTTCTAACCATAGATTATCTGCTGTTTGGGGTGTTGCAGTGGCATGTACACACACTGCCCTGAAGCCATGCATTATGGTGCATGATGTGTGTGCTGCTATGCGGCAGAACTAATTGAGCATGATGTGAATCAGGAAAGTTTCAAGTCGGCCGCTGCCGCCACAGATTTCTCACTTTGCGAGCTGGGTGATCTGCAGCATTCTAACATG